GGAATGTATTCAAAAATTAAAAAAATATTATACAATTAAAAAAAATCTTTTTCGAATCTTTTTTAATCAATGGTGAATTTTTTGAATTTTTTAGTGTTTTAATTTTGAAAAGAGAATTTAATATGCTATCTTTATTAAAATATACACGGTGTTCTATTTAAAATAAATGTCCGATCACGTATACTTTTGAAAACGGCAGACTATTCAACAATCATTACATAGAAACTTTGTAATGAACATTTTTCTGTATCTCTTTTAACTAAGCGAATATGGGATGATTCTGATATTGACAATTTTTTGATTTTCCCTCGTATCTCTTGAATATTTCGTGAATGTTATCAAAATTTGATTTTACCATTTAAGTTTGACTTATAAGGAGCACACGACAGTTACGGAGGTACCCTATAAAAAAGCATGGATATTTATAAATGTATAGTGGGTTGGATTGGTAGAGCAACCTAGGCTGAAACCCACCCCACTCAAAAATCAAGGCAAAAATAAAATAATAGGAAAGTCATGTAATAATAAATAATCCGAGACCATCTCTTCTTGAACGAAGGGGAAACGGGGAAATCGATTTAATTCGAAAAGAACCTTTATGTGCCTATAGCTCAAGGACGTTTTTTTCTTAACAAGAAGTCGTAATAATTGTGCACCTGTTGTAGTGACAGACAATATTTTCATATTAAATTACCGAGCATTAGATAAACAAGAGCGTTTGAACTTCTCGTTCAGTTTGAAGAAAGTGTTTTCTTTTAATAGACCAATTTGACCAATTAACCCTTTTTTTGTAAAGTAAAACAACAATTATAAAAAGGAAGTTAATATGACGCTATACTATCAAATAAATTTTGATTTGCTTGTGAAATAAACCGCTAAAATCATTGTACGATGAATATCATTTTGATGTCAACATTCCTGGTGATGAAGTAAAAGAAAAACAGTATTTGATGGCAGTTGCGTCTTTTTCATCCTATTGTCAATGTAAGAGGATGTTTCCAGCCCGATGATTGTAACATTAACGTCAAGGTCCGAGAAAAATTGAGGAAACTTAATTTTATTGCATGTTTTTACTATTTTGAACGCATGAAATTTGGATAATTGTAATGAAGGATAGATTTGTCATTTGGAAATGAAGTAGTCGATGCTCAATAGAAAAAATTATCCAAATCCATGTGATCAGATTGTTTATGTATAAAATAAATTGTTCCTAAGAATGATTATCATTCTGTATTTTGTTGTAAACTAAGAATATTTCATTCCAAATAGTTTGTTCAAGTTTTCTTTCGCAGTATAATTAAATTTGTAAAAAGGAAATGTGATTTGGGGAGAGAGAGAGAGAGCATCGTAATTGTTTTTTAATGAATGTTTTCAAAACGTTACGGCAATTTGGCAAACTTTTCAATTAACTATAAAAATTTGAAGAACATTTTTCAGGAAAAAGAAGAAGTTCTACATCTTTTCACTAGTAATCTCACAAGTGCATTGATTCTTTCCGGAAATGTTTTTGAGTGCAGAATCAATGCACGAGTGTAGATTCGGTAAGAAAATCGCAACGACACCACAACAAAACTCTATATTGATTCAAATTTTATTTTGTGTTTTAAATTATCAAGTTGATGTTGGACAAAATCCATGGAAACCTGTGTATAAACAAAGTAGTTAAATCAGAAAAATTCAGAGATGTCACGTTTTGGTACTGAATCTTTTCAAAAGATAGACGAAGCAATAGACCATACCACTCCGGCCAATACGAAGCGGAATAAATGCTCGGTATGGAGCTAGTTTTCGAGCTTTTGCGAAGAAAAGTACAAGCTGGATGAGAAGGAGAAGGAGGAATTGGGTGAAATATTGAAAGATTGGGACTTCAACATGAGCAAGAAGAATGGTGAATCTTATAAGGAAGGCGTGGTGAAAGTTGTGTGGAATTCATCAGCTAAACAATTGCAAGAAAAGTATTACAAAGACTTCAACATCAAATTTGACCCCTTTACTGATTTGGAGTCCAGTGGAGCTAGTTTCGCGCGAGACGCATGCCACCGGAAGTTACAAGCCGATCCTGCTAAAAGAAAAATGAGTTCAACAGCTCTTATTAAAGAAGAATTATCCAGAATGATGAGACATGGGACGAAAATACTCCTACCGGTTAATACTGATTCGTTTCGTTTCACAAAACGTATCTTGACATTTAATCCCTAAACGTCAAAAAATTTCCACTTATTAATTTTAGGTAGGTTTAGCAGCTAGAAAAAATTTCCGCGAAAATCTTTCCGTTGCCATGGTAATAATGCTCGAATAAAGTTTTTGATTGGTTGTTGGAGAGTGTCGTGCGATTTTCATATATAATACCATAAGTAGTCGAAGTATTGTCGAATATTTTTGAGGTGCTGTCACGAATGCTAGTTACGCTGATTAATACCACGAGCGCTTGCGCGAGTGGTATTAAAAAGCGTAACTAGCATGAGTGGAGCAGCAGCTCAAAAATAATCTACAAATACTTCGACTACGAATGGTATTCGGAGGACTATTCAATGAATCAAAAGAAAAATTAAGCATAATTACCCACGCGAATGTATTTCCATGACAACAATAAACGTCAAAATAAATTATGGAAGTTGCTTTTCATTTTGCTATTGATTCTATTCGAACTTTTGTGCTCCAAGCTAATTCGTTATGAGTGATTCAATTAAAAGATGTGGTGATGTCGGTTGTCGAAATTGATTAACAAACTAAGAAGAATGTTCCGGTTAATACGACAAAATTTCGCGACATTTCACTGGTGGAAGTTTGACAAATGTCATTGAATAATCGCATTGAATTGTCGCTGAAATACCACACGTGAAATTATCACTTATAATTGCACAAGAGGTTGTATTTTACCGAGTAAATTTGGGTTGTTTAGGTAATGAAAATCTGTTGCCTAGCAATTAGACGAGAAAAACTGTCAACTAATAAAAATGCGACACCGCAGGTGGAGCATTTTTAGGTTGACAGTTTTTCGAGTTCAATTGCTAAAAGGCAACAGATTTGAATTGCAACAACACAAATTTACTCGGTTTAAATACAAACCTCGAGTGTAATTCGGCAGGACAATTTAACGAACAAGAAATTCACATAACTAATCAATTACTGACAGACGTCAAACTAGTCATATGGGAAAGGATAATGCGATAATTGGTTCGAAAATGAATAAGTGAAAAAACCACTAGTGCATTTGTCGCTGGAAAAGTTGCAGGTAACTTTTGCCGCTGTCAAAGTGACAATTTCACTGCGGCTTATGCGATTTTTTATACATGAGTTGAATTGTCGCTGAAATACCACACGTGAAATTATCACTATAATTCGTTCCCATTGGCTCAATAATTTGAAATCTCGACATTTCACTGGTCGAAATGTGACAAATGTTAGATGAATTGAATAGTCATTAAAAGCTAGCCAGGATAAAAATTTCCATTTCTTTAAATAAAGAAAATAGGAATATAAAGAATATAGGAAAGCCTATTTCAATTTATATGAAATGTTTATTACAATGCCACAAAATATGCACAGTTGTAAATGAAACGGAAACCGCGTAAGACCTTATTTTCGTAAGTACATATTAATTATTCTTGGTTCGCAGTCACTGCATTAATTGTTTGAAATTCGCTGGCATACTTAAATTTTAAATGTCATTACAAGCACGCTTTAGTTCGGCAGTAAAGCAGTAAACAGACTGAAGGGATGGTATCTATGAGGTTCTAATTGCAATTTCGAATTATAATTATTCTCCCGACTGAATTAGTTTTGTGCATCCCCGAATTAGTTTGGACGGGTTTCTCCGAGTTTGAGAGGTTATATTTTGGGTTTCACCAATTACGCGGATGCCATTGTAATTCTAGCGGAAAGGGAGAGGGATCCATAAACTATAATACTCGTACTATCCAGATTCTAGAGACTACAGTATGAAAATCAACAAGGAAACACAACAGTGCTGAAATGCGCGAAAAGATACGATAGGAAACAGGATCCGAATAGGGAAAGACATGCAAAGGTATTTTGTTATTTAGGTAGTAAGATTACACAAGATATCGTAGTAAGGAAGTTATAAAATCTACGATAGCGCAGGCTAAAAAACCATTTGAGCAAAACCGGGATCTACTAAGAACTAGGAAAAGGCTGCTAAAAACGTACATATGGAGTGTGCCTCTATAGTCTATACGGCTGTTAAACCTGGATGATAGACAGGGAAGACAAAAGTAGGATAGAAGCATTCGAAATGTGGTGCTATAGAAGGATTAGCTACATGGCGAAGCAGTGTTAGAGCTAGTACAGGGTGATAGGGAAATGTGGAAAACCGTACAGAGAAAGGGCGGAGGACTGCGTCTAACCAATCTTAAGACTGTAGACTCCAAGAAGAAGAAGAGAGAATTACATATAGTAGGTGCACATTTTCAACAATCTTACATTTAAAATTTAACTTTTTTCATCCACTTTAACAAGCAAGGTCTCGTTAAAGCATAACCCCGGTATCAGGTGTAGATTTTCAATTTATTTTCGTTCTTTTGTAATTCTTTTTGTGTTATAGGATTACTCTAGTAATGAGTTTCATGGAGGTAAACTTAGAAGTACTGGCCTGCGTAAGGAAGAGTGAAGACTGATTAGCGATGAACCGTAAGTATGAGCTTTGATCGTTCCTGAATGGTAAACTTTGTAATCAGAAGCTTTTCTTGCTACGTATGTTGCTAAATTAGTAGCGTGTAAATAAAGGGATATATGTGTCAGTCGTTTCTTCTATTTATCTATGGTGTCTTAGCCCTGAGAATCATTTATTAGTAGAGATCCCTTCACAGGTAAAAATGTAGGTGGAATTTAGAGGAGGAATTTTTTTTTGCTTCCCATAATTGTGTCAAATCTGAAGCAGGTAACAATGTGGGTGGTTTCATTTTGTTTAAAGTGTATTTGAAAAAATAAGATCAGTCACGATACGGAGCACATATAGTAATAAAGTAAGCATTACAAACCTTTCCGTAATTATGCGAGGAATGACTTGTTCTTGCAGTCCAATGGTCAGTCTCGAGTCGTGCTCTTTCAAGAACTCCGGTGAGACTATCAATCCTTGACCATTCGTGCACGTCATGATTGTGAAAGGGCGGTACCCCGGTACCGTTTGGGGTTGCTGCCACAACTTCCATACTCGCACGTTATGTTCCTTTATTAAAATCCTTTATCAACGCTTGGTATTGACATTTGTCTGAAACAGAAGTGGAAATTAGAATGTCAAGGAAGTAAATCAATAGAGAAATTATAGTAATTCATACAATAACAAAAAAAAGAGGTTGAATGTATGTAAGTAAGCACGATTGTTCGTTACGACAATCCTTAACAGAGTTGTAACCTATATACGACACGACAACTTTCTATAATACAATCAGTTTATATTAATTTTTCTGTTACCTATAACAATAGGATATAGGCGTTAAGATTAACAATACCCCCATATTACTTACTACAATTTCATAATGCCGCCCGTGCCAATTTCCATATTGTATCATCTCGACGCGAGACAAAACCCCCAAATTGATCTCGAACGATTATTGAGTAATTTGTAATGGCATTGAATAATGATATGTAAGTTGAGTTTGAAAAGCAACTTTCCGGTTTCTGCCTAGATTGTGTGACTTGCAAAATTAATATTAGTTTCATTTTCGTGCATGAGTGAGCATTTAAACCTTATGATCCTTTGTAAGATATTAATTATGTATTTATAATCCCTGAAACTAAATTGTCATATCCATTGTGAAAATGGTAGATACACGAATATTTCTTAGGTCAATGTTATTAATTGTGTCTAATAAAAACTCGTTTTATAATTTGAAAGTGATCTGCAAATAATTGCTAGGTCTGGAGTGAATGAATCATTCTATGTATACTCAAAAATCAATTGGGATGTTTCAATAAATATGAGTTCATCTATTAAATCACATTGCATTGTTTCTGCAATTTATCGTTTTGCATTATAAAGGTACTTAATCATATTGCATATTTTACGTCATTTTTTGGAAGGTAAGTATTGTAATTTGATGAAGGTATCCACCTATAATAGTAGGTTCTACAAAGTAATGCATTAGGATTTGGCATTGAAGCAGCTATTATCTGTGAAACAAAAAAGTTAATAAGTAAATGGGGAGAAAGTAACATTAAAAACTGCCCTGAATTTTAATTAAAATTTATATCTTGCTTCTGTGTAGCATTTAGTGCCAGTGACAGGACATTACTAAGTGATTGATATTATGCATATTACAGCTATAGTTTGATTAACAATTATGAAAGGTTGCAATGGATGAAGAAAACGTTAAGACACGTTTGGAAGAACTGGCTATGCAGGCAAAGCAGAGAATTCGCCTATCAGTAATAAGGGTAGGTTTTATGTGTTTCCGTTTAATTTATCTGATAAATGTAAGGTAAGAGGGAACAGCGGTTCGAAGTGTTTGGAATTGGGGACAAACCCAGGTGAGTCATGAGTCGTGTCGATCGAGCAATTTGATCCTGACGTTTTCTTTTGATTGTTTAATGCCAAAAAGCACTAGAAAAACAGACAAAAAGCGCAGTCATATAGTTAGACTGACATTTTATGGGTCGGTCTACTCAACATCGAATGTAAATATAAATGTGACACTTAAGAAGTATCAGTGGCCTGACTGAACGCATTTGAAGCGTAAAGTATACCTAAGAAAGTATTATTCTTTTCTGAGTGGAGGATATGACTATTAACAACGTGAAACGGGCTAAGTTTTGTCAATTCAAAGTAATTACTTTTTTTTACTCTTAATTTGTTTGTGTATATAAACAATTAATTAATTAACTAATGTGTTAATTTATCACAGTTATTTTTATCATGGAATGTGAGATAAAATATGTCGTTCGACTGGAGTAAATGATGCGCGGAAAGAGAACACGAGTTTGTTCGCTCGCAAGAAAAAGACGTGTGTCATAGCTGATGGTTTAAAAAATTGATTTATTTAGTAATAGTATTTTACATTATTAGCCAGGTAAGTGAGTTTTTACTGGCGATAGGAGAAGTTGACTAGCGAGCCGTTAGGCGAATGTGTGAAGGCCAGGAGGCCGGCTATTAGAGCAACGAGGAAAAGCGAAGTTTGCCAAGCCTTAGCAGCGGAGCATCGAGATAGGAAAAGATGATAGAAGATAACAAAGATACGAAATCTTCTGGGGTACCTACTTCGGAAGAAGGGGTTGATTAAAATTCTTTTGATACGTTAAATATAATTTCTGGGAGACCATTGAGAGATTTTTGTTCCCGTATTCTTTGGACCCAAATATCCTGCAAATCTGATTTTCAGAAATTCTTCAGTTCTTAATATATAATAAGTACTTTTCTAATTCCCTTCGTCTGTAAAATAGACGCATAAGGATTTCCTGTTAGGTTATGTTTCCATTCCATCTCGCCAACGGTCAATTACAACTCATGGAGGCACCGGCAGGGCCGTTGGAATTGGTAAACCTGAATTATGATTTTAAAATTAATAAAAAAAATGCAATTCTAGCTTGACTACTTTTAAATAGACCATACGTTTTGATGGTACTGAAAGTAAAAAGCTATAATAATATTAACGGCACAATCAAGACGTGTCATAAAACGGTTATCGATTTCTAATAAAATAGTGCCTTTACGCTATAGTACATTATAGTTGAATAACCGATTCCTATCCACTTCTATTTATTCGCAAATTATTTCTTCCTTTATCCTAATCTGCTTTGTACATCTTCTAGCACAACACAATTTCTTTAAGGCATATTTTTGTATTACAAAGTAATGGCCATTTGCATATAAAGGTCGCCTAAATGGTAATTAAAATGAATAATTGCTTGGTTTTTAAAAAGGCACAGTTTTTAGACATACATTACCTAACCGATACTTATTGTGATGGTCACTTTTTCTTCGTAACCTTCGGCACCTGCAGTGGGTAATTTAAGGTCGATTAGTATTGCAGTTTTTTGACGCACTGATCACCTAAAGTGAGAGTTAACAGTTGCTGCAAAATAGTACTCGTATTAAAATGGTATCGGCAATGGTAATACCAATAAAATTTCAAGAAAACGTGCATAATCCCGAAGGTGTAATAATCTCCAACAGATATTTCCCTCTGCGCCTGTGATTAATCGTATAATTAGGTACGATAAAGCGAATAAACTAAAGACATAAATTAGTAAATAAACAGAGCTTGAGAAGGAAGATCAATTACTAACCAGTTACATGGTTGCACGTTCCAGTAATAAATTTTAGGATAAAATTGGATGTAAGCGTAATATGTTCCGATTAACGAGATGATGACTATAAAAAATAAGGATTTATGGTGGCTTTTTGCTCATTAAGTCATTATGATATAATAAAATGTCCTAAAAAATTCTAATACCATTTCACGCTTGGGTGTGCTCTCTTCAAAAACTTATGTTATTGCACTTTGATGATCTTAATTAAAGTTTTTTCCTTTGCAGCGATGAGGACTTGCAGTGGAATTTCCTAAATTAGTAGGTCCCATAAAATTTACAATTTTTCGAAAAGAAATTCACGAATACATGGTCCACTGTCGGAGAGATTCGTGGTACAGGGGAGTGTGTCAAACACCTTTACGGATTATTTTCTATTCTTCTTTTATATTTTACAACTTGCTTCATGGTACACATTTCCACGATCGAGACAAGAACTCATGCTAGAGCTCAGGATAGACCATTTCTGACCTCCTCTCCCCTCCAACTTATAAAATTAATTTATACATTATCAATGGGCTTTCAGTTGGGGCCGTGACACTTCGCCGAATGCCCACAACGCCGACACAATTTTTTGATGGCCGACATCGTCGACTAGGGACACTACGCCGACCGTACCCACATCGCTGGAATGCAACACCAAGCAGCTTTTGACGTTAGGTTATTGTAGGTTTAGAATATTTTTTTAAAACTTTTTTCGAACTACAAACTCATACGAAAATTCTTAATGAAACTGGACAGAGTATGAGGGGCTTACTTACAAGAAACACAAATCACCGCATAATTGATTTAGTGCATGCGGAATAAATTTTTGGATATGTATGATCAATTTATTTCTTCCGTTAAAATTTTGACTTTATATGGAGTACCTTCGTTTGAAATTTAAAAAAAAAGTGGTTTACCAATAGGCTTATGGCTGCGCATGTGCATTTCCATGTTTTGACACGTGATTGGGTCACAAATAAACAATGTTAGTCGGTGGATGCGTATGCGCAGTCTATGTAAATTTGATTTATTTCTGTAGGAAGCACTTTCTCTTAAATTTTGAGAAAAAAGAAGAAACATAAGTCTGCGCACGCGCAATCTATTTTTTTTTCGAAAACACAATAACCCAAAGGGTTAAGCGTAGTTTCCCACTGTCAATTTTATTTTTCTTTATCGATGCATTTAACAGTTTCCTCGTTCAAATTTTGGGTTTCTTTGATCCAAAATTATTGCTAAAGTAGAGCAAGTTTCACGCTTAAGTTTTGGATAATCAAAATTATGAAAAGCGAAAAAATAGATGTATTGTTATAACTATCTTTGTAAGGGACACAGAAAAAATGCCTTCCTTAACGAACCAAATAGCAAAAAAATTAGCTCCTAAGATAAAGATATATTGATTACAAAATAATCATACACTGCCGACACTTTACTATTAATTTTGAGAATTTATCCTCTTTTGTTTCATCATGGCACACTTGGATTCGGGAAATAAGGTTGTTTTTTTACAAATTGGCGTTCCGACTTGATTTTTCTCTCAAATTTTCTTATGGAATGAGTGGTTTTCTTTATATCGGTGGAAAATTTGTAATTTTGGCTACCCAGAGGTATAATTTGTTTAGGGGTGTCATTTGAAATTTTTGAAAATATGACATTTGGCGAAGGTCAATCAAAAATTTAATTTTTTTTATAAAGTACCTAAAAAAATTATGTGAAGAGGTTTTAACCTGTGTCTGAATTCAAAAATTATCCGCCTGCGCGATTTAGTTTCTTTCAAAAAAATTTCGAAAAACTGTCCAATTTGGACGAAAAAAGGTTATAACAGCGAAATCGTTATAATTAGGGGTGTAGCATGTTACCTAAAAAATAAGTATTTTTCAAGTACGTTCCAAATCAGTAAATATGGGATGTTAAAAAAACGAAAGTTTGATACGCCACTGGAATACAGCACGCTCTTTGTGATCAAAAATATTTTAGAAATAT